ATAAAGAAAGATAAACTCAAGGCTTTTATAGGTAAATGGATGCAACCAGAGACCATACTCGTAAGTGAAATAAATCAGAACTGCATCTGTAAACATCATATTGTCTCCCTAGTGTAAAAACCTCAAAGAGTAAATAAAGTCTGAAAGGTACAATAGATATTATGAAAGGGAAAGAAACTGCTCAAAAAGAAAGAACAACTGGGATGAGGGAAAGAAGAAAAGAAAGAAGGAGGAATATATATATATATACACACAAGATAGCTAAGATAATTGTACTACTAATTTCTATTGGTTTATTGAAAGAAACAGTTAATGTTTGTTTGATCAATTTTGCATGCCTATATCTGGTTATCTGAGCAACAACTTTGAAGATAACAATATGTAATACAACAACCACTGTTAATTTCCTATCATCTTGTTTTGAAATTCTGTATCTTTTTTATTGTTTTTGTGTTGTTTTGTTTTTGTTATTTTGTTTTTAATTTTCTTTTAAAATAGAAAATAATAAATTCATATTTCTCTAATAATAAAATGGAACATCTTTTCATGCACCTATTTGCCACCTCTATATATTCTTTGGTGAAACGTCAGTTTAAACCTTTTGCCCATTTTTAATGAGTTGCTCCTTTTCTTATTATTGAGCTATAAGAATTCTTTATATAGTCTATAAACAAGTACCTTTATCTCATACAGGATCTGCAAGTGTTTTCTCCCCTGTGAGGCTTATCTTTCCATTCTCTTATGTAATTTGTCAGAATCATAATGGAGTCATGTGTGTTAAGTCCTAACAAAATAAATAAAGCCAAAAGGTTATGAAGCAGAGCTCTATGCATACATGACTAGAATAAACGCTAGTACATTCTCTGGTGGGCTCTTATGCACATATGCTTATAATCAAAACTTTGCCAAAGACTTTCCAAACTGCAGCTTGCTACATACATCACAAAGACGGTTAGCAGGCTGTGCAAGAACACTGGGTGACACACTGTCTCAACTCAAGAACTGATGTCAGCTCCTGAGATAAGGCCCTGTGACCAGTGTTCTCTTTATTTCAAAATAAATTACATGTACTTTTCTGCTTTTAAAGCTTCCTCCTACCGTAACCTGTTTGGGTATGTCTCTGGTTCCCCAGCATACACATTCCACGTTATAATCTTAGGCTACTCTTGATTAAATGCAGTGTTTGCTACGTAGGTTGACGTACTAACTATACTTCTGGTTTCACATTTGAGTGTATGATCCACCTGGAACCAACTTTTATTTTTAATGTGAGGTGTGAATCACAGTTCAGCTTTTCATAACAATATTTCATTGTTCCAGCACTGCTAAATAGACAAATCTTTCTCAACTGAATTGCCTTTACATCTTAGTAAAAAAGTTAATATTTGTGTGGGTCTATTTCTGGACCCTGTTCTGTTCCAGGGATCAGTTTGTCTATCTTAACATCAACACTATACTGTCTTTATTATGATAATTTTAAAGTGAGGTAGTGTTAGGACTCCAACTCTGCTCTCCCTTTTTAGTGTTGTTTGCTAGCATACCTGGCATTTAGAATTGACTTCTCAGTTCTGAATTTTAGAATCAATGAATTAATTTCTACAAAAAAAAAAGGCTGCTGGGATTTTTATTGGGATAATCATGAATCTACACAGATTTCCTTGGGGAGAATACATATCTTAACAGTATCACATCTTCTGATCTATGAACGTTATGTATCTTCTTATATTTTCTTTCATTTCTCTCAGCAATATATTGATTCAGATATTTCACTTTAGAAATTTCTCTGAAGGAAATAATCCAAGATATGAAAGAAAAACATATGCAAAAAGATGTTCATCACATTGTTAATTATAATACACAAATACCAGTGTAGATGCAACCTAAAAGTGGGAAAGGAGGTTACTTAAGTGTTATGGAGCAGTCACACTTCATGTAGCCAATTTAAAATGAAGACTTTGAAGACTAGCATGGGAAAAATGCTAAAGACAACACATTAAATGAGGAAAGTAGTTCACTGTATTAATACAGGTTAGAACAAAATATACTAAAATTACAATGAGTTCAGACTGATAAAAGTATAATTTTTCTCAAATCCCTGAATTTTTAATAATATAGCTACTGCTTTAATGACTTTTTATTTTTACATAGAGATATAATTTGCATGAAATTTACCATTTTAGTGTATACAATTCACAGTTTTTAGTATATTTAGTTAGTATTTTTACTAAATTTAGTATATTCACTAACTCCAGAACACAGACACTATCTTATTTTTTAATCTGCTATACTTATTAGTCACACTTTATACATATCCACCCTGAGTATTCAATATGAAAGCCCCTTTTCTTCATTCAGTTGATCAGTACTCATTAACAGATAAGAAAAATTATACTGTAAATGCCCAAGTACACATGATTTTCCTGTTATCTTATGTTCTACCAACAGTCAACTCAGTTAATAATTTCATATTAAAATGAAAATCAAAATTAAGCTACCAAATCCCTCATTAGTACAATGCAAGTACCAACAGGTCCCTGATTTATAATTTTCATAGTTTTTTTTCTCTACAGTCATCAGTCTCTATTTTAATTGTTGATTCACTCTATAAGCATAGGATTTAAGCTACGAAGAAACAAAATCTGCAAAATCTGCTCACCATATGGTCCACAGCAATGCCTCTCAGTGAATGTACAATCATTCACAATACACTCAGCCTTTCACGCATACTGTCTCCCTTGATCCAGGCAAGAGCCTCTGGGATTGGTGCTGTCATTCCCTTAACAGCATAGATATAGGACCCGACACTCAAAAAGTTCAGGGTCGTGTCAAGGCTAATCAGCCAGCAATGGTGCACACTTGTAATCCCACCGCTTGGGAGGCTGAGGCAGGAGGATCACCGTGAGTTCAAGGCCAGCCTGGGCTACACAGTGAGATCCTGCCTTAAAAACAAAAAATCAGCCAGCAAATAGGTCAGTGCGTTGGCTCATTGTCTTCTAACACCAAAGCCTCTGTCTTTGTAGGAGACTCTGCCAGCCCTCCACACTGTCAAGTTCCTCACAAATTAGAGGAAAAGTAACACTGGGTGACCAGTGCCTGCTGTGGGCTCTCCATGCTGTCCTCCCAGCACCCTTGCTCAGAGCACCCAGCCACGCAGCCCCTGGGCTCAACATCAGTGTGCCTGGGCCACATACTGGGCTGCCATGGCCCTGGCTGTTGTCTGAGCTTCCTGGAGCCATCCCAGGGGACCAACAAATGACACTGAGTTTAGGAACAAATTCATGAACACACAGGGGTCTAGAAAGCCCTGGACACACAAACAAGCTGAGACTGGGAATTGCTGTGGAAAGGAAGCAAAAGAAGCCCAGGAGGTTCAAGGTCTCCAACTGCAGAAATGGACAAGGCCAGGGACTGTAACCTCAAGAGAAAGATCCAGATGGGGGCTGAACACTGGCCACAGTGGGAAAAGGGAACAATCTTTCATGGTAAGGCCGTGGTAGAAGCCCAGCCTGGGGTGACAGGGGGTTAAGCCAACTTCTACCGGAAGAATTGTGTGTGTGTCCATCTCCCCCATCCCCCACTCAACACACATCTTGTTCAGATGGGCTCTCTGGATGTGGAGTATCAAAAATAGTAAAAAAGCTGCCCAGAACCAAAGGCGTTTACAGATTTAGCACCACCTCACATGTGGTTACAAGTACAGTGAGACATGTCATCCCCTGACTGCAAATTCCAGGAGCACTTCAAACCCAGAACACTCCGTGGGAAACAAACAGGTATCTCTAAGAGTAACCCCGAGGGACACTGCAGGTGTAGTGATTGTGTCCAGCGAGAATCTAGCAGCACAATGCGATATAAATGTAACATTCTAATTGGCTACTAATTCTAACATTCTAATTGGCTGAGTAATGCAGTAATTTTCCTTATCTGCAGTTTTGCTTTCTGCAGTCTCAGTTACCTATGGTCACTGTGATCTGAAAACACTGAATAAAAAATTACAGAAATAAACAGCTCCGTTTTAAATTGTATACCATGCTGAGCAGCATGATGAAGTCTTGCACTGTCCTGCTCCATTCTGCCCAGGATATGAATCGTCCCTCTGCCTGCTGTACCCATTTTATACAAACTACCCAGCCATGAGTCACTTTGTAGTCCCACTGGTTATCAGATCAACTGTCACAATGTTGCAGTCCTGGTGTTTAGGTATCGTTACTTTGCTGAATAATGGCCCCAAAGTACAAGAGTAGTAATGCTAGTAATTCAGATCTGCCAAAAAGAAACCCTTGAAGTGTGTGCATGCACATGTGCACATGCACACACACCCACGCACACAAGCATGGGTTAAATAATTTGCCCAGGGGCACAGAGCTAAATCAGAGCTGGGAGTGGAGCCCAGGCAGTGATACTCCAAAACCACAATGCTCTCTGTATTGAAATGTTTCTTAGACTATCTGCATTCTTGGCAGCAGGGGTTGCAAGGGCCAAAGAAGTAGAGTGCATGCTTGCAATGTACAAAGCCTTGGGTTTGAGCCCCAGCAACCCCCCTAAAAAAAACCATACAATACTTCAGAAGTTTTGACCCAAGACTTGGACCTGGGTTCTAGGCCAGTTCTGCCAACTCATGAGCCTACTTACACAATCCTAAACAAACCATTTCAACTTCTTGGACCTCAACTGTCTGATTTGTAAATCAAAAGGTTGAGCAGGACCAAGAATAGTGAATGCATGGCATGCATGCCTCTCCTTCATTAATACACCCATGACACAGCCACACATCACTAATCAACCACAGAAAACACTCACTGAACCCAGGGGAAGACTGCCTGATCTCCATCCTGCATCATACAACCATCATTCATCAACTGGAATTGGCAGACGAAGTGCCTCTGCTTTCCCCAAGCTAGATGGTTTCTTTTTTTTTTTTTTTTTTTTTTTTTTTTTTTTTTTTTTTTCCTGTACCGAGAACTGAACTCACGACCTTGCGCTTGCCAGGCAGGCGCTGTGCCGCTGAGCTAAATCCCCAGCCCCCAAGCTAGATGGTTTCTAAGATGTCTTCTGACTCTAAAGAACTACAGCTCTGTTGCTAGCATTCTGAAGACATTTTTTTTTTAAATTTTAGCCCGAAGTCCAAGTAGACCAGTATCCCTATGGCTCAGTCTCCCTTCTGCAAGATGGATATTGGGTTATATTATGACATCATGCACAATGACATCACCCACTTTCTCCTCTAACCACTGTGAAGCTCACTGTAGGCCAATGCCCAATCTGAGTCATGCAGCCTGGATTATCTCTCATTGTAAGCAGATGAGACCCTCTCTCCTTGCTGCCTCCCTAAGGAAGCTTACTAGTAGTAGGGAGATCTAAGGCCAAAACCACTGACATGGTAAGATGCGGGGACACAGGTTCCTTCACACCAAGCACTGTGCTTCCAGAAAGTTCTAATCAAAAGGCAAATACTCACTAGTGGGAGCAACACAAGGAGCTGAGGTCACTAAACCTCAGCAGGGGTTTCTCCACCTATCTCTTCCAAACATGGCAACTAACCTGGAGCCAAGTTCTACGGAATGGGACGGGTTTTAAATACAGGTTCTGCTTCAGAGAAGGCCATCAGAAAAGTTGCAAGCATGGGTATTTGGGGAGGGCAGTTGCTAGTGGCTGCGAATGCTTAATGAATATGCTAAACAGCTTCCAAGGATACTTGCATTTTAAAAGGGAATAGAGATGTAGGCCAAAAGAATTACTATCTAATGGTGGAATTACAAGCATCAACAATGATTTAGGGAGGTATCAAGCAAAGAAAGTTGTTCCAGCATCCCTGAAATCCCAACAAATGAACTAATTTTACCGTGCAAACCCTCACCAAACAGCAAATGAGCTGCAAATTTAACAGATTAATAATACTACTACTGCCAACTTGTGACTCGGCCTGCCAGGGAGCAACCCTGTCACCACAAGGACAAACCAATACCCACAGGAGCCCAGGACATGCACTCTTTGGTCTGGAAAGCATCCACCTGGGAGCCTAGTTGCCAGAAAAGCTGAAGAGAACCCTTCCTTTCATCTGCCCCTTAATCACACACAGTGAGAAAATGCATAATTAATTTGTTCTAACAGTGGCTGGAAGAGAGAGGGCATTTCTGGAATGGCAATTACAGACAAGAAAAACAAATGTTAGGCTGCGAGCAGAATAATACACCCAGCCAGCCCGCCTGTCTTCCTTTCTTTTCCTTCCCCATCATCTTGTTCAAGCGACGGGCCTGGATATCAGACAGAAGTTTTGTTTTTAGTTTTCATTTCTTCACAGCCTTGAGCTCTTGGGGTCTGCTGGGAAGGAACAGAAAACAAAACCCTGAAAATACAGGTATGGAGCCTTCACTCCTCAGAATGAGAGCTGGACTAGGCACGAAGCTCAGGGCTCAGGCGCAGTGTGATGATCAACAGGCAGGGCGCCTGGGGACAGCTGTCCACATATAGCAGTAGATGAAACGAAAGAACTCTGGTGAATGTCATTGCTTGGGGTAACGACACTGTGATTACTTAGAAAAATGTCAGTTTTCAGAGATGTATACTGAAATCAGAGGTGAAATGCCATGATTTCTACAATTTACTTTAAATTTCTTCAACAATAAAAAAAAAAAATAAAAGAATTATAGCAAAATTTTTTAGGTCTAGATGCCAGATATGAGATTCACCATATTATGCTCTGTGCTTTATAATGACACCTGGAGTTTTTAATATAGAGTTTTTTTTGCCTTCAAGGTCCAAAGCAGATTCCACTGTGGCCCAGGAGACCCTGTGCGCTCCACCCGGGTCAGCCTCTCTCATCTCATTTTGTACCACATGCCCTATTAGCCACTCTACTCTGTCACACCGGCCTCCAGTCAGGTCCTTGAATAAGCCAAGCTCATTTCCACCTCCAAGCCTGAGGCTGTGGTTCCCTCCTGCCAGGGCTGGCTTTCTGGGCAGACAAGCCCTGAGGGTTAATCCTGATCGTCAGCTTGACTGGGTTGAGAGATGCCCACGAAAGTGAATGGACTGAGAGGACACTAACTTCATCAGTAGCTTAATCCACTGATGAGATCATAATTTAATGACATTTTGGGGAGGTGATGGGAGCAGGAGGTAAAGACTGGTTGGAGGGAAGGGGTCATGGAAGTATGACCTCCCCAGCCCCTTTCTCTCTGGCTTTTCCCTTGTTCCATGCTTCCTGGATTCCATGAGGTAAGCAGTTTTCCCCTCTACCAGGATGTTTGTGCATTAGAGTTGGCCAACCATGGATAGAAACCTCTGAAAACGTGAACCAATAAACCTCTCCTTTTAAGTTGTATACATCAGCTCCTTGGTCATAGCAATAAAAATCTGAGTAAGCACAACTTTATCCTTGACTCAGAAGAGCCCTGAGCTCACAGCTCAATGCCCTAAAGTCACTTGGAAAACAGAATAATGCCTCTGTTCCCCAAAGATGTCCACATCCTGATCCACGGATGTGTTACCCTACATGACAAGGAGATATTAAGGTTGCAGAAGAAATCAAGATTGCTAATAATAAGCTGACTTTGAATTAGGCAGATTATTCTGGATTACCCACATAGATTATTCTGGATTACCCAAATGGATTACCCAAATATAGCCATATCTCCATGGCTATTTTAAGTGGAAGAGGAAGGCAGAAGAAAGCCAGACAGAAGACAACATGAAAAGGGAGCCAATATTGCAACTTTGAAAACAAAGAAAAAACAAAGACATGGATCTCCCCCAGGGCCTAGACAAGAAACTCAGTCCTGCTGACAGCTTCACTTCCTCCCAGTGAGGACCACTTCAGACTTCCGACCTCCAGAACTACAGAATAATAAGTGCATATTGTTTTAAGGCACCGTATTTGTGGTAACTTGTTACTACAGCTAGAGGAAATTCATGCAGTAGCTGCCTTTTTGTTGTTTGTGTTGTTTTGTCTTGTTTTGTTTTTTCGTACTGAGCAACGAGCCCAGGGGCTTCATGCACGTTAGGCAAGGATGCCACTGAGCTACATCCTCAGCTCTTTCACTTTACTTTTCAGTTGGTTTTTCTAGGCAAAATCTGATGAGACAATGGACATGCTCTGGGGATTCAGTTTCACATACTGTCCCATCTCCTCTGTATGGATTCCTGGTCCCCTGGTTCCCCCCACTTTCCGTACCCACCCTTGAGTCACGGCAGCTCTCTGCCTAGGGTGGCTGCCAGGGCACACTGGTAGGCGAGGCCTATATTCTGCCATTGCTCCTCATCCCTGCAGGAGCCCAAAGCACAGGCACAGGGAGAGTCCAGGTCATGTAGGTGCCATCCAGCATCCACCCCAATCCATGACTAGAATTAGCACAAATTCAAAAGGCAACATGGCCTCTCACCACCAGCCTCTCCCAGTCCAGATGTGAGCACGGCCCAGCACTTAAAATGCGATCTCTGGAGAATGCTAACGCCCCAGCAGTTGAGACAGAGGTCCATAAGAAAGGATACTGACTTCTCCACTTCCAGCCAGAGCCACATTCTGTTTTGCATTGGGCCCCACAGTCTACCCAGCCAGACCTACCTCCTCCTCTAGCAGTCATCCCCCTTCTGCACTTACTGCTTCTTAGATCACCCTTCACAGTCAACAGAAAAGCCCAATATCTGAGAGCCCTCCCCCAGCCCAACCTTCAGTTGCTCTTTATCCCATAACTACATTCTGCCTCCTTTAGGGCACTTAGAGCAGAAACTAAAATTATCATATTACCTCCTTCACCAATTCACTGCAGAGTGCATACTGCGCCCACGGTGTCATGACTGTTTCTAAGTGCACAAACATGACACAAAGCAAAACAAACTGAACCCTGCCCTCCTTAACCACATTCCCTTGTGGGGTCCATCAATTATTACTTATCATGTATCCTTTCAAGAATAGACCTCTGGGGCTGGGGATTTAGCTCAGTGGCAAAAGCGCCTGCCTGGCAAGCGCAAGGTCGTGAGTTCGGTTCCTGGTACCGGAGAAAAACCAAAAAAAAAAAAAAAAAAAAAAAAAAAAAAAAAAGAATAGACCTCTGTACACCTAGCACATAGTAGGTGTGTTTGGCACACAGTAGGTATTCAATAAATAGTTGCTATTTAAAGGAGTGAATGAATAGCAACTTGGATATTCTGCACTGTGACCAGCAGCATGGAGACATCTTTCTTCATCATATAGATGGTAGGGCGTGAAGATCTATTCCATAAGCAAAAAATCAGAGTAAGAAAGGCCTAGAGACTGATCTGGGATGGAAGAGACAGTACCCCTATTCCCAAACCGACTTGTCTTAAATTAGCCTGACATATGTCCTACGATTATCAGTCAACAGTTTATTTGTATATTTAAGTGAAGTTATTCTGCTAATTGGACATATGTCTCATGGTTCTACAAAGAAAAGTCTATTAAAAAGTCTTGCTGTAATAGGCAAGAGCTTTGAGCGTAGTTCCATTCAGGGACAAGAAGAGTACTGAGTGGATTTTAATTTGGTAGAAAATAGCTGCTTGGGGCCAAGACAGTGAGAAGTAGGAAATCAAGAAGAGCCTATTAGATTATTGCTGCTGTTAACAAGCATCTCGACCACCCTTACAGCAGTAGTATGCCTTCCATTAATTTCATTAACAGGTCATGGCCTGCCTGCTCCTCTGCTGTTCTAGCCATTCCCACTTCGGAGACACGGCCACTGAGGCAAGAGAAATATATTTCACCTGAGCCCATATGAGTCTGTCCTCACAACCCCTGCAGCCAGACTTCCTGAGCACACAAAGGTATGAGATGTTTGGTTTGGTTTTGTTTGGGGGATTTGTTTTGTTTTTATTTTTTGAGACAGGGTCTCACTATGCAATCCAGGCTGACCTTGAACTTGCTACATAACCTCTCAAATTCACAATCCTGCCTCGATCCAAGATACACAGTTCACTGGGTTTCAGAAGAAACACAGGAACTGGGGGGACAGCAGAAAGGCGCAAAGAACACTGGTTTCTCAAGGCTTCCCAAGTGGCTCAAACTGCCTGATGTAATAAGGAAATCCATGCCTTGTAGACTACTGGCCGACAAAGTCCCCGAAGGCTCATCTGGCAGAGGAACTGGGAAGCGCAAGGCTCACAGGCACAGCAGAAGCCACACCATTTGGGGTTGAGTCCAAACTCCTGTGATGGTTTGAACGCTGTCCCCCAGAAAGAAACGTCCGCATCCTAACCCCTCAAACTTGGAAAAATAAGTGGGTTTGTTTGTGTGTTTGTTTGTAGTAGTGGGGACTGAACTCAAGGCCTTTACACTGAGCTACATTCCCAAACCTTTTTCATTTTTCACTTTGAGACAGGGTCTTGCTAAGATGCCCAGGCTGGGCTCAAACTCGAAATCTTCCTGTCTCAGCCTCCCAGACTGCTAAGATTATAGGTGCACACTACCATAACCAGCTGTTAAGAAGAAGTTTTTGAAGATGTAAGTATGCTATGAATTTTTAGATGAGATTATCCTGAATTATCCAGGTACCTCGAAGTCCAATGATAAATGTCCCTGTAAGAAAGAGAAGAGAAGACCAGAAGCAGAGGCTGGAGTGATGCAGCCATGAGGAATGGCTGGAACTGCAAGAAGAGGCAAAGGATTCTTTCCTTGAGCCCTCAGAAATAGCATGGCTCTGTCTGTACTTTGATTTCAGAATTCTGGCCTCCTGAACTACCAGAGAATACATTTCCATTGTCTCAAGCCACCAGATTTGTGGTAATTTGTTATGGCAATCACGGGGAAGTAATGCACCCACTTACTGGCTGTGGGCCCTTGGAGAAGTCAGTCGATCAGTCTGAGCCTCATTTTCTTCACCTCTAAAATGCTGATGATGACGATGTCTATCTTGTAGGGTTGTTGTGAAAGTTAAATGAGATTATAGAGAGTCCTTAGCGCAGCATCTGTCCCATGACTACTGACCAGTAAATGTGGCCACTTGTTCTTAAATCAGAGAAGCCCAGCCATAGTCTGCGATGAGGTCTGAGACAGACAACAGTGGTGGAAGCTGGACTTTTTACAGCTGCTGCCCCATTGAACCCTTGACATCAAGTCCAGGCTAAATGCAAGGCACAGCACCTGGGGGGCAAAGCATTCCGCCACCTGACACACATGGCAGAAGCAGGTGCAGAGCTGTCTGTGGCAGCAGAAAGCAGCCCCGTGCGTCCGGGCAGCACACATAGGCAAGAAAGCCACAGACACACACAAACAAGGAACCAGCTAATGGCAGCACCCATGACGTTAGGATGAAGAGATGCCCGCATACAGCAACAGCCCCCACGTCCAGGAACGCAGGGAGTTATTCTGTTTTATTAGCAACCATGGCCTGTAGAAAGGAATTACTACTATAGAGCACCAGAAGCAAATCTCATCCCACCAGGTATCTCTGAGCCTGATGCAGCCCCAGGGGACAGTAAGGGTGAGCTCAGAGAAGAAAAGTGCTAGAAAGACTGGCCAAACCCAGCAGGGGAAAGGTAAAGGCAACAGTGGGTGCCAGCCGCAGTGCGGCTGAGTGCCCACTCTGGATGATACAGGCTTGCTTCTCAAAGTGTGACCCTGCTCCAGTGACAGCGTGCAAAGCATGGTCCAAGACGTAATTTGACACGGTACCATGAACATTTACTTGTGTATGCACTAGAGGGAGAGATGGAGAACTATCAAACCTGTAATTTCACAGATAGTTTGCCTGAAACAAAACCGAGAAAACAAAAAAAAAGTCAGTAAGTGAAAAAGATCACAGAAATACCTGAGCAGTTAGAAGTCTGTGGCAATGTTCATGAATCCAAGATGGTGCTTGTTCTATTTATGTAAAAAGAAGGCTGAGGTTAGAGAAGAAGCACCCACGGGCTACAGCTCCATAGGTAAAGTATTATTTCTGAAATTGGGCAGTGAATACAAAGGTGGTCAGTGAATTATGTTCATACCTTTACTTAGGTCTTAAATATTTCACTTTAAAAAACAGGCTATATGCAGATATAGCAGATTAGAATGCTGTGACTGGCCATGGTCCATTGGCCACTAACAAGTTTAGACCAAGCAAGAGAGTAACCAGCCTTTCCACGTTTGCCTTGGACTACAGAGATGCTACCGTGTGAAGCCCCATCTCCAGAGGGAAGCTCCGGTCATATCACATTTTCCCCCAGGACCCCCATGATGTCTGTGAATCCCACCAACTCTCTCCCAGACCACAGCAAGGCCCAAGAACCTGCTCATATAGAACTTGAGAAGGCTTTGGGTCAGGGCCACTGCAGAGAACTTCACAGATTTGTGAGCCTCAGAAAGGTTCGGGTATACAGAAAGCTTTTTAAAAAGAAGGTACAGGACTCCATCACAAACTGCCTCCCTCATTCCAGAGAACCGATCCTTAGATGACCCAACCAGAATACATTAAATGCAGCTCATGCTCCTGCAGAAATTATCACAAGCTCTGAGAAAACCAGTCACCAAGATAGTGAGGATTCAATTTCCCTCCTCCTCTAAGAGAACCCTCTCCCGCAAATGTCCCTGAGATGACAAAGAAAAGTCGCAAAAGAGGGTCTGGGGGTACAGTGTGTGAAAACCCACTGACTGGGTGGACAGACACGGTACACGCAAAGGAACAGTAACACAATTAGCTCTGCCTGCTCCAGAGGAGACCGCCCCAGCACACACCCCAACTCTACCCAACCCCTTGCAGGGCTCTGGCTCCTGCCTCTCTTGGCTAGAAATTAGCTACTCTCAGGGGTCAATGGCTGTGATTCCAGACCAGGAGTCAGAGCTGTAATAAAGACAAATCCATCCTTCTGCAGCTGGTGATTTCATGCCTGCTTCTTATTCCCCAGTGCAGACCGTGACTAGCTTAAGGGCCAAGGTGAAGCCTTGTTTCCCTTCCTATCCTCAGAGCCTTATTCAGTACCTGGCACAGAGCTGGCTATAATAATAGATGGATAAAAGAATGGTGAAGAAATGCCAGCTTTGGCCAGGAAAGTCCCCAGGAATTATGGTTTATATGTAGATGCCCCCACCCCGGGGCGGGGGGTCTCATGTGCCCAGAGGACGGGCTCGTACAAGAACGTGATTGGATCGTGGAGGCTCTACAGTGGGCTTGGTCTTAGGTGGGGCCTGGTCAGAAGGTCAGGGTCACCAAGGATGTGACCTCGAAGAGAGCATCTCCCTTCCCGGCTCCTCCCTTCTCTCTGCTTCCTGGCTCCCATGATGTAAGCAGCATTCCTCCAAGCCAGGCCCTTCCACCAAGCCACTGATCAGGTAAGGACTTCTAGAACATGAACCAAAATAAACCTCTCCTGCTTTAAGCTTCAGATATCAGGTGTTTTGTTCCAGCAACAAGGACAGCAACTAAGATAGTAGGTTCCAGAGAATATTCCTGAAGACCCAGATGTTGCTACAGTTCCTGGGTGGCCAGACCACCACCAGGCTGGTAGGAGTTATCCTTAAAACCAGAAATTGTTCAGTTGCTGAAGAGCTAAAGTCTTTTCCTGAGACAAAGCTAGCATCTGACAATTCCTTTGGGTCTACAGACCGTCCACTTGGGAATATAAATGCCAAACACGCATAGAATTAACTGACTGACTAATTGAATGAGAAAAGGGATGAAGCTCTATGACCTTCTTCCTCCTTCCCAGTGTTTCTCAAACCCACCACAGGGAGTGTCTTAGATCAAAGGATCATGGGTAGGAGGCAACTCCAGCAGCAGCAGTCAACAAAGGCTGAGGCACAGATACCTTGGCTTCCACTTTCTGCCCAGCAGGTGAGAAGCAGATAAACAAGATCACAAAGTATAAAGTGCAATGAACATGAGATAGGGCAAGATCTCAATGTCAAAATCAAGTCTGCGGTAAAGAGGAGCTGCTGAAGAAATCATGAGACCTCCCTGCACCTCAACATCTACATCTGTACAGTAGAGACCTGAGGTAAGTAATGTCCATGATGACTTTGTCAAGTTCAAAGGCATCATTATGGACAGTGTCAACACCACCCCTTGGCCCCTTTCTCTACTCTGACCCATATATACTGGTCAGAAAGTCCCAAAATACTCTACTATATCCCGTGGCTCTAAAGGTTCATTCCTCCCTCTAAGTACCGATTTTAGTAATGCCAAAATGAAATGTCTCATACTCAAACCTGAGGCAACCTATGCTCCAACCAAGGTCAGGCATAAAGTTAGCAGAATTTGATAGGCACAAAAAGTCCTTATAGCAAATCTGTAAGAGAAAGAGCTACTTTCTCTTTCCAAAAGTGTTGCTGATAAACCCCCATCCTATGTTTCACATGAGCAATGGGGACGGGGCATTAGGGGTGTGCTTCTGCTAATCTCTGTCTTCTGTCCCTACTCCCTGTGGAAGAGGAGTCACCAATCCAACTGGTGAGTTTGGGAGCAGCTCACACCATCCTCTCTCCTCCCTTTTTGGAATCTGCTTATCTAAGTAGCTCTAGTATTCAGCTCTTCCCTGCCCTAAGAGGCAGGCCCCACCTGGGAGGCTTGTCCTGCCACACTTGTGCCTGGGTAGGAAGTCTATCAAATTTGGGACAAAGCCAGAAAAAAACTCTTGCTCCAGCCCCAAAATGAATACTCAGACAAGCGTTTATCAAGAATAAAGTCAATATTTCTTTGCAAAGCAAGCTCCATGCACAGCTAGGTTTTGCCTATATGGTGAGAAGATTGCTGTCGGCAGCTCAAAGCCAACATCTCAACACTCTCAACTAACCCAGTGAAACAGGACAGAGATGCTGCACCCAAAACAGTCTTGGGCCCAATGGTCACTGGTCAGAACTGGCTCAAGTGCCCATCCCTGAATCAATCTCTAGGACCAACAGAATGGACACCACCAACTGCCTGGCAACCAGGGTGGGGTAAGCCCTACCCAAATCTCATACAGTACACGAGATAGGGTGACTCCCCAAAGGAATGCTACGTGCTGTTCCCAAAAATGAAAATGGCTCAGCTGCAAAAATTAAGAAATATCCACTACATCTCAACCCCTTGGTCAGAATCAACTCTGTTCTGCCACCTCCAGCCCTTTATCTGGACATCTATACTAGCAGCTACTTCCTTCCATTTTACGAGGGGCCAGGTCACACACATCCCTGTTGACGGGTACCTAGGCACCAGGAATTCTTCAAAGCCCCTGAGCACTTCCCCGACTCCTCAGCTGCCTAGCAAAGTGCCAGCGTGCCCCTAAGACCTGTCCCTTTATGTTGGCTCCCCACCCTCATGATGCAGAGCTGAGTCACCGAGAACCTCCCCCTGCCAGCACCAACCTTAAAAGTGCTTCTTGAACTCACTGCCCACTGTGCTAAGCCTCTTGGCTCTGACCTACTCTGGAACCTACAGACGCTGGCTTGACAGGTGAGATAATTACATTTTATCCTTTGCTCATTTCTTTATCAGTCATGGTGATGAGAATGGAAATGTACTCCAATGGAAGAAAACTTTCTTGAAGTATTTACTCTGCTCTTTCATGCCAGGCACTTCCCCCTTCCCAGGCACAACTCCTAGGACGAGCCACTCTGTTAGCTGGTGTAAGCCACTATGTGTTGCCCTATCATCGAATGCCAAGCTGCACTTTACTTACTGCATCCCCAATGCTATCCACTAGGAGCTGTGACATCACTGTCTTTCAGATGACCTACACGTGGACAGCCAACTGTCTTCACAACATTCATCACCCGCCTGCTCCTCAGATTTCTCAAGTCAGAGGTCTTATCCCTGAGCCTCTACAGAATGTCACTCCAGTGGGTTCAAAGACTCACAGCACTGGTTTTGAAAAGGAGTTGGGGAAAAGTAGACGTGCACTAAGTCTTAGAGGCAGAGGGTTTAAGATCCTCCAATAAAAATCAGTATTTTATCCATCCAATTATTCAACAAGTCTATTCAGAACCAGCTGCGTCCTGGGTGCTCTTATAAGTGCTGCACACCTAGAGATACACAGTACAGATCAAGCCTGTCTGCATGGAGCATATTTTCTAGGAGACATCCGACTTATTTTCATGTCTACTTTACATTTTACAAGGCACAGTTTTGTTTCAGATGTTATTTATTTAAGCCCCAGTAAGTGGCACAACCATCTCTAGTCTGTAGACCAGGAAAATCACAATTCCAAAAGGCTAGATGACCTTCCCAAAGCCAAGGCACAAACTCAAGTCTTCTGGCTACAAACCTTGGACTCTTTCTGGGGGCCTCTCCAAAGACAAGGAGCTAGCTGCACACAGCCTGGCACTGAAGCAGACGTTAAATCAACTCTGCTCTAGGTATCATCACTCACAACAGAAGACACAAAAAGAACACCCAATCTCCGACATAAAGAAACCTATAGTCTAAAAGAAAAGACATGTAACCAACTATCCTTTGTGACAAGAATAAAGATAGAGCGATTGAATTCAAATAGAAAGGTATCTCTGGAAAGATACACAAGAAATAATGATTACCTCCAGCAGGAAAATTGAGTACCTGAAGAAAAAGGGTACAATGGTTATTTTGTCTATTTCAAATATTATACATTTTAAATTGTGTGCCATTTAAACATATTTTCCATTAGGCAACATGTTGAGGGTGCAATCAGCAAAATCCTGACTGTGGAAAATTCTACAAAATATGATCTGGTTTCTTCAGCAAGCAAATAGCTAAATAAAAAAAAAATTTCTAAAGAAGATAAAAATAAAGGGAGGGAGAAAAAGGAAATGCTATGTGATTCGGAAAGATTTGGAACTGTCAACCAAATGTAATGCATGTACCTTGCTGGATCCAGATTGAAACTAACTATAAAAAGACATTTTAGGGTTAAAGGAAATTTGAACAGAACTAGCTATTAGAGACTACTGAAGAACTGCTAATCTTTTTTTTTCCTTTTTCTTGGTTTGGTTTGGTTTGAGTCAGGGTCTCGCTTTATAGTTCAGGCTGGCCTTAAACACATGGCAATCTCCTGCCTCAGCCTCTTAAATGCTGGGATTACAGGTGTGTACTACCACTCCTGGCTAGAATGCTAATCTCGCATGATCATAGTGTCATGCTTATATTTTTGCAAAAGTCCTTATTTGTTAGAGATACATACTAAAGAATTTACAGATGAAACAGTAAGATGCTTGGGATTTACGTTAAAATATTTCAGAAAAAAAATAATAAATGAACAAAAAAACAAATGAAAGCCTGGCATAGTGGTGTACCCCCGTAATCCCAGCACTCAGGAGACTGAGGCAGGAGGATCACTGCAAGTTCAAGACCAAAGTGAGCTACAAAGTGAGCTCAAGGCCAGCCTGAATGCATAGCAAGACCCTGTCTCAAAAAGAAAGAAAGAAAGAATAAATAAAGGAATAAATGATGAATTAAATATTGATAATTTCTGAAACTAGATGACAGCTTCAAAGGGATTCATAATACTATTTTATCTATTTGTGTGGATGGTTGAAATTTTCATAATGAAAAGTTTAAATACAAACTGTAAAACTAATTGTCATATGCACAAAGGATGCCTGAGAAGGAAAGCATCACAGATGTGAGTCCAAAAGGATAGCTAGCAATTTTCTAAGGGGCAAAGGAGCATTCCAGGCTGAGGGAACCACCTGAGCAAAGACAAGCCAGTCTTTCCAAAACTCTCTGGAAGAGCCAAAAGTGTCTATGCTTGACCTCAGGCTCAACCTACATCCCACAAAAATTCCCTCCTGCTTGATCCTCCAACTCTGTAGGATATCTGGATATAGTGTCCAAATCAACTTCCTGGTTCCAAGTGAGCACACAGAGCATAGGGTTGACAGCATCTCTACTACTAGAGTCTCCAAGTGGCCTTCAAAAGATAGGAAAGCATTTAATCTCCTTCAGTTGGATTTTGGCTAAGAAGGCAGTTTAGAAGTTATCATGGACCCACAGGCTTGGTGACCTATGCTTATAATCCCAGCTACTCAGGACGTTAAGGCCCAAAGACTGTAAATTGGAGGCCAACCTGGGCCATATAGCAAGACTCTGTCTTCAAATAAAATAACAAAATAAGGGCTGCAGAAGGGAAAGGGGAGAAGGAGAAAGGAAAAAAGAGGGGAAAGGAGAGGAGGAAAAACTGTCAGGAACAAGAATGCACATGCCCCCTGAGACCTCCACACAACTGTCCTGACCAGAAACTCACATCAGCCTCCCAGCCAGCACCTCGTAGATAATAACCTCAGCACCAGGAGACCCAGTTTGATGTAGACCTGACAGTCCCACTAAGAGGCACTAAAACACCTCCATATGCAGAAGCAGGTAGCCCTCACTTCCTTCCTTCCAAACCCCCATGCCAGGGGCCTCCATCTCAATACCCCTCTGCCCTGTGCTCTCCCCCAGGCACCCACAGGAAGCTTGCTGGCTGTCCAGGCTCAGATGGGCCCATTGTTCCCTTACCTCTGATCGAAGCTGCAAGTATTCCTCTGAGCCATAGGGTACATGCCTCAGGGAGGTGAGGTAGTCATAACTGATAGCAGCTGTCTGTGAAGGGAAAGGAAGACACAACTTAGCACTCAGCCACCAAAGCTCTGCAGCTGCACGCCCCAACATGGGCTGCTAGATCTGCAGAAGGCACCAGTCCACCCTCAGATGCCCTGCGTCTGGATCTCACCACTTCTTCCCAGCACTCAGGGCTCAGCACAAATGCCACCTCTACAAAAAGGTCTTTGTAACGCTGCCCCTATCCACCAGGAACTCCTAATTATTTATCATAATAATCCACCACCCAAAAGATTCCTGCTCATTTGTTTCCATGCTTATAAAGTCTCTGAATTGAAGCTCTATAACCACAAGGGCTGGTCCTTTCAGTTCTTCACCGTACCCCGGCGCATTTTACACTGTCAGGCACATGAGCCGAATCTCAATAAATACTAGTTGAATGAATGCCATTAGATAAATTTATCCTACTCTTAAAATAAGGATATCACAAAAAATTATATTTATGTTTGTTCTAACAGCATAAGTTTTAATTCTGAACATGTTCCCTTATCCTTGGTGAATCAGAAAAGTACAAATTCCTAGATATCTCAGGCATGGAGGAGCCCTGAGGATTATCTAGTCCAAACCTCCCTTTTTAGAACTGAGCATCTGAGGACCCTAGAAATTAAGGAGCTTACAAGATTTATATTAAAGAATAATTCTTTGCACCCTCTGAGGCATAATTCCACTCAACATATACTCATTAACTACCAACCACGAAGTCACTGTGAAGAATGTACTAGGGCCCTGTAAAGAATGTATAGCTTAGAGGCTGTTTTATAAAGCACCAGTTGATACCCTTCACTCTTCTTTCTAACTATTTGAGTACCTAAGGCTTCATTCAAGTCCTGTTTCCCCAGGACATTCACCTAGACTCCCAGGTGATGCTGATACATGTATGGCTTTCAATTGCTTTTTAACCCATTAATGTGCATATTCCATGGCCAGAGGCTCCTTCAGAGCTGGGTCTAGACTTCTTTAAAACTGAAAAAGAAGCTCTTTCAAAGCTGGGTCTAGGTGGGACCATTCATTTCTACTCATCAAAGCCCATAAGACAATGATGGGTCTAAATAAGCACTTGGTGGACAGCTAGGGATTGTTTCGTATTTCTTAGCCTATTTATCCAAAGCTAATTTGTCCGTCTCAGTTCTAAAACTCAGCTTACCCTTGAGCATAGGCATCACATCAGTAGCCTCCTCTCTGAGTTGTGCTCAACAGGACACTTGGTAGCACCAAGTACTAAGGAAATAATTAGACAACAACCCAAATAAGAGTTGTATCTGGATGCATATCCACATCAAAGAGAGGAAAGGACAAGCTCACCCGCAGGAGATAAAGGAGGACAGGAAGCACCTGGCATGTGACAGTACACTCACTCATGGAATAAGTATTATAGCAACTTCTGGGACAGTTGCTATCTGCAGAGTTAAGAAAACATGACCATACCAGAACAATATTGCTACTGAGCCACTGGAGAAAACCTCTAAAGGTCCAATATATAACTTGGATTCACTCTTTCTGAGGAACCAAGGAGATTCTCAAAGTTTTCCAGGGCCCGGGTACTGCAGAGCAGTGGTGGAGAACCGATGGCATGCATGCCATAGCAGGCTGTCTATATCACCAAAAGCTCTAAAAGGCTCGCCATCACTGCTTTAGAGTATATGGAAGCTTTCACACTAACTCACTAGAATGAGATCAAGCTTGCTGGCAGAATTTAATCTGCAAAGTCTTCTTTCCAAAGTCTTCTTTCCATCACATCAGGAGGCTACTGATGTGATGCCTATGCTCTGTGTTTGCTGAGAAGTGCTTGCTGCCCCTATGAGTTATCATTATATGATACAGAACCTAAAATATAAAAGTTCAGAAGAGACCTCATGCAGTCACATTCTATTTAGCTGCAGGATGGCAGAGGTTGTGTGCAGAGGAATGAAGATACATGAGGATCACTTCCATGTCTGTGCAACTGTGTAGATGGATGTTTGGCACATGAACGGTACATAGGTATGACCTGCATGCCCATCTGTTGTATGTATGGTATACCTGCAAGTAATACTATCGTTCCTCTGCTACCTACAAAATGAAAGAAACCTACCGTTGCAACTGCTCTGCCCACCCTGACAGCACCAAAGTCATTAGGGTCCAAGTACTTGTTGCTGTAGAGGTAAACCCCAGAGGCAGCAAGAGCAATGCTGGTCCATGAAGCAAGCTTGAGAGCCTTTCTGGCCATGTCCCCAGACCCTGCAGAAGAAAGAAAAGTTGAGAAAGCAGTAAAGGCTTTCACTGTCAATCCACGATTCAAATTCCAGCTCTGTCACAGAGTGTATGACGCTGGATCATTTTCTTAATCTCATTGAGCCTTCATCTCATCATTTGTAAAACAGGACGATACTTACCTCAAAATTCTTGAGCTAAAATGAGATAATGTGCTTAAAACAGATAGCAGAGTTCCTGGCACAAGTCAGTTCTCAAAAGTCCTTCCTCTGACAGTGCCAAGCACTGCTCTGTATGTGGGGAGGAATGAAGTTCTCACCCACGTAGCTTATACTCTAAGGGAGATGGCAGACAACAAGCAAAAAGATATATACTAGAATACGAGAACTGCTACTAAGTGCTGAGATGAAAAGCAAAAAGGGGAGAGTGCCTGAAAATAGGAAAAGTAGGAAAGGCATGTTAACCATCGCTATTTCTATTACAATACAACACGCACATACAAGCATCATTAGCCTTGGTGCCCAGGTCAGAAGTGGGCAGGCCACCACCAAATTGGCAGCTTGGCAGAAGCAGCCAGTAAGCCCTCTATATCTGCTTGATTCCCAAAATATTTACTTTGGTTAGAGTATACTGCCCCTTGTCTAGACTGCAAGCCCTTGAAGACAAACACCATGACTGTCACTATTTTGTCCCTACACAGTCTTGTAAGGTATTTTCTGATTAGGGCTCAGTGTCCATCTGCTGACCCAATCTCTTTAACAACACTCATACACTGGTCAATTTGACCTTTCTCCACCCACTTTTTTTTTTTTTTTTTTTGAGACAGGGTCTCACTATGTAGTTTAGCTGTCCTTGAACTCACCATATAGCCCAGGCTGGCCTCAAACTCACAGCAATCCTCCAGCCTCAGCCCCCCAATTGCTGAGATTGTAGGTGTGCACCACCATGCCCAGCCAGCCCAATCACTTATTTCTGCTCAGCCCTCTAGGTAGATATGCAGCCTTTCTCTGGGGTCAGTGCACCTCAAGGCTGCTTCCTCTATAACTCCTGAGCATTTTATATTGGACTAAAAGCCTTGAACCCAGCTGCAGCTGCCAGTGGAGAGGCACCCCGGGAGAAGTATAAGGCCAAGCTACCTGCCGGTACAAACCTTGCAGACACAGCAGCCAGATGTAGGTCAGCTCAGTGCTTCTGCTCTGGACTGACTGAGTCTGACCACTGCCTCCCTATTCTCAGTCTGTTTCCCCTCTGTGTGGAAGCTACTGTTCCAAACAGCCTTGTTCTCATGTAAAGTCTATTTTGACTCATGCCTCGCTAAATAGCCATGCAAGTTTTTCTCACAGATTTTTCTGAAAGTATTTATAACATACATTCTTTTCAATTGTATTACTTTCAACTTACATTTTATATTGTTCCTCTAAACAGCATATCATTGACACTTTCTGTTTGTATTTTATATAACTTCTGTATTTGGATTTAAATTTATCAGTTTCCACACTTTCTAGTTTTCCTACCTGGTCAGTTTCTTTTTCTCTCCTTTCTTGACTCTTTCTGAACTCTGTAATTTTTTGAATTCCTTTATTTTTTCCCTTTGCAGCCTTCTTTTCCTAATCCAATATTTGTTAAGTGTGGTAAGAAGAACACCTGAAAAAATGTCAACCTAAATGCCACTGTAAAAAGGCAAATTCCTGGAGCCCACCCCATGGCCCACTGACCCACCAACGCTGGACAAAAGACTCAGGAATCCATGTTCTAATAAGTTAATAGGTGATTTTTACCCAACAAGCTCAAGTTTGAGAACCAGTCTTCCAAATATACTCTTTTTTAATAAAGAGATGCTTAATGTACTCAAATTCTTCAGTAAAACCATCCCCCCAAAGCAGGCGTTTCTTTCTTTTACACAGATGACTGTATTTGCTCCACAAGAGTAACTCCAAACAATTATTTTTAAATAAATCATTAAAGAAAGTCATTCAGGCCGGGGATACAGCTCAGTGGCACAGCACCTGCCTGGCAAGTGCAAGGTCATGAGTTTGATTCCCGGTACCAAAAAAAAACAAAGAAAATCATTCATTTCCCTAAACACGTGTGCTCAATCTCTGTTCCAACTCCTAGGATAAGTTCCTATTTCTATAAGAAAGTAATTGTGACTAGAAATAAAAAGAATATGCAATTATTCATAATAGTCAAGATATGGAAACAACTCAATTGTCCATCATAAATAACAGGAGAGTTATAAATGGAATACTATTCAACCATTAAGAAAGAAGGAAATCCTGCCATTTGCTATAATATGAGTGAGCCTGAAAAACATTACAGTAAGTAAAATACACCAGACACAGAAGGACACTCACTATCTCACCTGTAGAGAATCTAAAAAGGTCAAACATAGATATAGAGAGTAGAAGGTGGGATTAGGCGAAATGAAGACATTGGCCAAAGGGTACAAAGTTTGATGACAAGTAGATCTGAGGATCTAATGCACAGCATGGTGACTACAGTTAATACTACACTGCTTACTTGAAGAAATGGATCGTAAGTGTCCTCACCAAACATACAAAGCAGGGAACTTATGTGAGGAAATAGATTAATTTGGTTGTGCCAATCAATGCACAATATATAGGCATGGAATCACTGCATGGAATCACTGCACGGAATCACTGCATACACCCTAAATATATGTAACTGTTGTCAATTTTACTCCAACGAAGCTGGAAAACAGACAAGTATATAAAAATAACTTAAAACTTTGCTTTCTAGCATGCTTTTTATTTTCTTTATATCTATTTTTATTTTGTGAAATCCTCTTTATCCCCACTTCATTTTGCCAACATTTTAATAATCCTTTCAGACAGAAAACTATGCGGGGTGGAAACATGCACTTTGCAGATCAGCAGGCCCAGAGATGAGAGGATCATGGGCAAACTGAAAAATCTCCATGAGGTTCATGATCTTGTCCATAAAATGGAATGAACAGGAGTATCTAAGGGAAGGGGAGATGAGAAATGAGGTGAACCATATAAAAACGTTTAGCAAGTAGCCATCTATGTAGTAAACCTGAGGGCAACTGCTTCCATGTCACTCCATTCATTATTATTTTTATTCCTATTATCTCCTCACCCAATGTCAGATGGTGGCAAAGGATCCTCCCTTCGTCAGCTCTCCGAGGATTTCAGCGTGCCCTACTTCTAACTTTCTGGCACACTCCCACCTAATCCTAACTTCCACCTGCCCTCCTAGCCTCGGCTTGCAGGACTTTTCTTTAATCCTATTGAAAAGGGAGAGAGAGGGAGGGGCTAGGGATTTAGCTCAGCGGCACAGCGCCTACCTGGCAAGCACAAGGTCGTGAGTTCGATTCCCGGTACCGGAAAAAAAACAAAAAAAGAAAAGGGAGAGGAGCTGAGCTCACTCTCCATTCTTCTTGGTTTTTAATTGTTTTACTCATATGTTTGTGATGCATTATAATCACACTTCTCTCAGTGAATTGGTCACATCTTAAGCATTTTTACTGCCCCTCCTAGCCTTCTCCTCTCTACATACTTTGTTTCCACCAAGTATGACTGAACCTCTTCACCCCTATACCTGGCACAGACTGCATAAATATGCCACAGTGGTGACCTAACCAGACCCAGAAGTAGACCTTAAACTAGGTTGAGTAACCTCAGGTCCTTATACATTAGCCTTCTTCAAGATCTTCAATACCAGGGGGTCCAGGAGGGCGATGCAGGGCCCTTCCTGTGGGGTATCCAGAGAAGCCCACATTGAGAAGGACGTATGGGGAGAATGCTGGTTATAAGCACAACCTTTGGAGCTGCACAGAGGCCGGGCTTGACTGCTCACCAGCTGCGTGACTTCAAGTAAATCACAACCCCTTAAAGCCCCATATAATCGTCTACAACACAAAGCACTTAAGAATGTCAACCCGTAGGCGGGTGTGGTGGTGCATACCTATAATCCCAGCACTTGGGAGGCTGAGGCAGGAGAAGTGCCATGACTTTGACAGCAGCCAGGGCTACTTAGTGAGTTCGAGGTCAGCCTGAACTATACAGCAAGACCCTGTCCCAAACAAACAAAAAAAAGTGTCGACCCTACAGGATCATTTTAAGAATGAAATGACATCCAGCTTTAACATGTTACTTTACACACCCAAGAGATGCGACTTCCTTTTCTTATTATTATTTTAAACTTCATTTTTTCATCTCTGAAAGTCTAAGAGGACTGGAAATGGAAGCACAATTGCCTAGCACGCACAAGGCCCTTGGTTCCACCCTCACCACCACAAAAAACAACGTCAAGGGGTTCTGTAAAGGAACTCCTCACACCTCGGCCCAGGACTTGGCACAACTTTCAACAATGAATAAACAGGAGAGACCAGCATCAACTCTTGCCGGAACTAGTCAATCAGTCTGCATCCCAAACCCACTTTCCCACACCCCTTCTCCACTTCCCTCTGCTGGCTTGGGTACCACCATTACCTTCAAGTGTGTTCACATCACTCCTACCACACTCTGACCTACCAGAAAGTCCAAATTCCCTAACAGACATTCAAGGTCTCTCACTTGTCTCAGCCCAACCCACCACTGCAATTTTACTTCCCAAAATATCACTCACACCCCATCCCCCAATATCCCTCTAGAAAGCTTTGTGGGACGCAATCACTCAGAATTCCTTGTTCTTTCCTATCTTTCATCATACTGTGCTTTTATCTCTAACAATCTGGTCCTGTATTTGCCTCCTCCACTAGATGTCAAGGGTGGAATTTGTTAATTAATAAATATGTGTAGCCAGTTCCTATTGTTATACTGTTGACTTGGCATACAATTTTGAACGTAGGTTTACCCTACTGAGGCCAGAAGCTGGCCCTCCTAACCTTTGAGTTTCCAGTTCCTGCCTTCTCCCAGTTTCTCAGTGCAGTTGATCCAGATAGCTGCCTCTTGGGGACGGCCTCCCAGAGACAACTATGGGACAGATACAGCCTGTGTGACTGGCCTTATTCACCCCCATACATGGGCTGCGAAAATATGCCACAGTGGTAACCTCAGTTATAATGTGATCTCCTCACTCTATATCTATGAAATATCTCCCTGAGGGAAACCTTCCAGGTAAGCCCTGGCCACCAAGAGCCTTTGGCACACAGGTGACTCCGCCTCTCTGTGTCTCTCTCCCCTCCAGGTACTGCTGCCTCCAGACTTTTCTTCACCTCTTTCATGGGCACGTGAGTCTGTGACTATTCAAAGGCTCTGTCATTTCACTGTTTTGTTGAGCTGCCTCTTCTGTGTGACACCTGACCAGCACACCTGAACCTAACTACTTTCCAGGACCTCCCACAGAGTAGGTATCTTCGAAGGAATAAACTGCACCCAGCCCGATGAGAGCCATGAGGAATCTGCCATTATAAATATGTGTCCTGTCACAGAAACACCTGGCAGCAGGTTGGAAAGAAGAATTAGGCTGTCTGCCTAGATAAAGAAATGTTCTGAGAAAGGCACACTGTAAATAAACATCCAGGACCAAATCTCGTAGGCCCCCATCAGGGCAGGACTAGAGTTTATGGCCACTCTCCTAGGAAAAACCTCAAGACCAAATTTAACATAAATATAACAACAGATCTGCTAATGAGTGATAAAACTAATGAGTGGGGGAATCCTTCCCCAGTTTGTTCTCAACATGAAAACACAAGTCCAGCTATGCACTCAGTGTTCCAACCTCCCCAGGGGCTCCCACCCCACTCATGAAGAGCCAAGGCGGGGCACGGCCTACAAAGCCTTACAAGATCTGCCTCCCCTCTTGCCCCTGGGGTCTCAGGCCCTTCCACTTTTCCCTCTCCTAATCCATTCCAACTTCACCGGCCACCTTGCAGATCCTCCAACACGCCAGGCACAACGTGCCCTTGGGCAGCCTTTGCCCTTGCTGCTCTCCCTGCCTAGAGGAGAGCCAGCAAATTTCTTCTATAAAGGGTCCTACAGTATTTTTGACTTTGTGGGCCATACCATTTCTAAGGCAGCTACTCAACTCTACATTGTAGCCCACAGCAACCTCAGAGATCATGTAAAAAAATGAGCACTGCCAGATTTGACCCTGAAGCTATTATCTGCCATGCACTGGCCTAGGACACTCCAAAAGCACTTATAAAGTAACACTCCAGAAGCATTTATTGAAGGAGTCAATGAATGGATGAACTGAAAGGCCTGTGCAGCACCAAAAGCAACACTGGTCTCCAGGTAGAAATACACACTCTGGGCTGCCAATGCAATAGCCGCCCTCCCCTGCAGCCCCCAATATGACCTCCAAGTCCTTGCTCCCCTAAGTCCCGTCCTCCTCTTGTACTACCCCCCATACCTGGCCCCTGATACACGAAGCCACCCCTAACCTTGAGATCACCTCTGGGAAGGGCTGTGGCAGCAAAGCAACCATTCCCAGGACCTAGTTTTCAAGCAAATGTCCTCAGACAATAAAAGAGGTGGGAACTGAAATACATAAAATAGATGATTCCTGTATGGGAGCCAAACTGTGTCTAAAGAGATTGGAGCTGGAGTTTTCCATAAGGTGTCAGTGAGTCTTTAACATGCAAATGAACTGCTTCCCTTGGGGTACTTTAAAAGACCTGTCAAGCATGAAATATGTCTGTCGATGAAAAACATCTTTCATTATTAAATACTTCGCTAATGAATCATCTGTCCTGTTCTGTTTACTTGCATTTTTTACTTTTACCTGAATTACCTATCATAACAGTACATACCTTCAGGGATCTAAGGCCACCAAGCGCCTAAAACCTAATCACTAGATAATATTAGTAATAACTAACCTTTGTACAGCCCTTTACACTCATTTCATCAGATATTCCAAGCAACCCAGAGAGGTAAGACAAATACCACCATCCCAGGTATAAATGAGAAAACCAAGGAGCAGAGACCTTGAGTGATTTACCCCAGGTGGCTTAGCTAGTAAAATGGCAGGTTAAAACGTGAATAGGGTTTTCCCAATCCAAGTGTTTGGCTCTCTTGTTTTTTTATGGCCTATGATGTCTTTGATAGGGACCTTTGAACCCCAGGTCCCTAAGGTTCTTACTACTGTACTTGAATAATACAGCAGTCACTGTATGTAGGTACTACACAGTAATCTCTGACCCTCTACCATCCCAAACAATGCCAGGTATGTGGGAGGTACTATGTGGAACCCTAGTAATTAAACCCTAGAAATTAGAACCCTAGAAATTAAAAGCATGTCAAGTAAAAGATAAGCAATACTAAGAACAATCCATTCCATTCTGCCAAGTTGACATAGTTGTTTAATTGCCAGATCAATAAGAATGAACTCCATCTCAACAGACCATAGAAAACACCCCAGCAGGTCATAAAAATAGGCAACAGGAAGTTTGACAGTGGGAAGTTGATGGTTAAACAAAATCACCATCCTCTGGACAGAACTAAATGGGAAATCAAGCACTTAATATCCACGAGGATGAGAAAGTAACTAGGCCTTTTCACTTACCATCCATCTGCTCCCCACTCTCAGTGCCATGCCCAGGAATATGAGCCTAGAATCACTTCTTCCTGCTTAGTATAAAAGTGAGAATGACTACAGAGGAAAGGCACTTACTGTAAACCTCTGAAGTAGCCACTGCTTCCTCCTATTTCCTAGAGAGACTATTACACAAACAAGCATTATTTTTTTCTAGACCACTCTCAAAACTGGCAAAGACCCAAAACTACCCTTGAAGAAAGTGAACAGTACTTCAGAGAAACATGGTCACTGATGTGGATAAAAAGCATACAAAGCAAATCAATGCCCAGGGACTGTGTCATGAGCCCAAGCTTATTTACAGCCTGCTCTGTACTGCAGAGAGTGATGAAGCCCAACGCAGGAACCAAATTCTAACCATACACCCTTTCCTAATGTTTAGTGGCCAGACATTGCTTGAGTCAATATTGATTAAACAAAGGATCCCTAATCAATGCCAATGTCCCAGAATAAATAAGGAAAATAAATCTCACCCGGGCAAGGAACAGAAATTCTCTATTCAGTTCATGCTAGGAAGGGGAACTCAGGGAGAACAATGGCAAGACACACAAAAAGAGTAAGCCGAGGTAAAAGAAGAGTCAGCCTCCAACAAGAAGGATGCTGGGCCAAGTGTTTCAATGCCTCATGTACCATGCATGACTGGATTGTGAAGGGCGCACTGTTCGAGCCTCAGTCTACAGAAGTGGAAGAAACTTGGCTAAGGAGTTGACACTTGAATCCAAGTGTATCTGCTCCAACTGAGACAGCAAGGTGGGGCCGGGGATACAGCTGGGCAGCACAAGTGCCTGCCTGGCAAGCACAAGGTCCTGAGTTCAATTCCTGGTACCAAAAAAAAAAGCACAGTGGACAAGAACAAGCAGCTTCCTGAGCTCTGAGACAGGCCAGAGACTATCTGACATGGAAATCTAAACAAAGCAGGTTATTCAGTGAGCTGCCCTGGTTAGGGGCAAAGGGGATGGATAGGTAAACCTAGTACTACTATCTCATAGGTCCCTTGCCTCATAAGAAGATGGGTATAGCCAGGCATGGTGGTACATACTTGTAATCCCAACACTCAGAAGGCTGAGGCAGGAGGATCACTGCAAATTTGAGGCCAGCCTGGGCTACAAAGTGAGTTCAAGGTCAGCCTGAACTGCATAGCAAGACCCTATCTCAAAAAGACAAAAACAACAACAAAAAGATGAGTATCTGTCAGAAAGAAATAAAATGCCAACTCTCACAGCAGAGGTCAAATCTCACATCCCTGAGGTCTATGTCAAGCAAATGACACAATCAAAACAATATGATGCAATCCAGTAAAAATGACACGTATCAGACCACATGAAAATGTGTATGTGAAGTAATGTGGAGGGAATTAACAGTGCACAAAGTAATATATACATGTTTACAACTACAAAAGTAAAACTCACAAAAGGGTTCATAGCCAGGTGGAAAGAGTTCACAGGTTTTTTCCTATAAATAGTACTCAAACTGTGCGTACATATACGTAAATTCTTGATACTCATACCATACTAGAACATCATATCAGAATCAGAAATTTGGGGAACAGGCGTCCGGAATTCTGTGTAATAAGCCCTCAGGCAATTCTGCTGCAGGCTACGGTTTGAAAAATACTCCAATAAGTAAGTGCTTAAAGAAAATGTATGATAGCACAAAATCTAATTCACTTCAACTCTGCACATATTTCTTGGGCACCTACTAAGCACCGAGCACCATGGAGAATACCAACAAACACTTGTTGAGTGAGTTCCTAGTTAGTGAAAATTAAACGTCACTTAACCCTGGGAGTCAGCTGTAGTGGGTGTCTTCTACAGGCTGCTCTCACACTGACCGCAGTTAGCACACACGCCGAAGCACAGGCCATCTGGAAGGTGCTGGAGATGAGCACTAGACAGAGACAAGTCACACTTCCAGGTGGAGAGCCGCAACCTCAGGGCAGTCCCTGCTCTTAAGCACTGCGAGCTCCAGCCCCAGCTGCCTCCTTCTCCGAGCGCACAAAGCCACCTGAGTGTGAAGGTTTCTCGCTGAGCCACCTGCGGCCCTAGTCCAGTTCTGCTCACTGTGCACGCCGGGCTGTACCGCCCAAGTGGACAGCACACACTAACGCCCGCTGTGCACCAAGCCGCAGAGGCCCTGGAGAGGGGGCGGGCCCCTGCGAGTCAAACGGGCCACGTGGCCCCGCGCCTGGCGGTGGGGACAAGGTCACTAGCCAGGGCTCCCTACCGGGTCCGCCAGTGGCTACGCCGGGCGGAGGCCGGCGCGTCACACCAGCTCCGGGCGCGCTGCCTGGCCCAGCTGTCCCGGCTCTGAGTGGGTCTCGGGAGGGCTGCAGCTACTCACCCCGAGGGACGCAAGGTAGGAGCGCCGGCTCACTCCGCTGCCGGGCAGCCGGGAGTTCGCAGGAAGCGCTGCCCTCCACCACCCTCACTGCGCTCTGTAGCCGGCGCCGCGCGGCCTGCCGGGAACTGTAGTTCCCGGTTCCGGCCAATGATGACATTCAGCAATGTTGCAGGATACAAGATTAACAAAAATAGTTATATTTTCACACATTATCAGTGAACAATGTAAAAAGAAAATGAAGAAAGTAATTGATTTATAATACCAAAAGGAAATATTGCTGAATCAAAGTGATATACGATTTGCACAAAGAAAACCCCAAAATATTACCTGCACCAACTCCCCGTGATGAATGTAATCCTTATGTTCCACAAACATGTACTAATAAAAATTTTAAAAGTATAAAGAAGACTTAGGTAAATAGAAAAGCATCTCCATAGCTTCTTTGGGCTGCAGTCATTGAATCTCACTGAAAACTTTTTGCATGAGTCATTCCATTTACTTGTAGATTATCTAGATTTAGTCTTGGAGATCAAAGTGTTCCATGTTTTAAAAACTTTTCATTCCTTTTTCTCTATCAAAACATGGACTTTGAGAATAATTTCTTCTGTCTGTTCATGTACTGTGCAACTGAGTTGTTTGCATTCACTCTTTTAAACTCTGCCCCTTTTTGGTTTTGTGCATTTTTTCACCAACGTGTTCCAACTTTGCTTATGGGGAGAGATGGCTTAGTGACTATGTTACTGAAGAGATAGAAGTGGTTGACAACAACTGCACGGTGTAACTTTTTGAGTTGACTCTATAGACAATATTAGTGGAATAGTTATGTGTCTATGGTTTAATACAAAAAATATCATGGAGTTCAGGCATGTAATACTATGGCACTCCTTATACATTAGTACACCTCAAGTTCAGGAACCACTGGTGCATACCGTATCTAGACCTGCACTTAGAGATGGGAACTAGAGGCAGTTCTAGCCTGGAATCAAATGGAAGATGTGGTGCCTGCAAACCCCAGGATACAGTCAAAATATCTCACTTCCCTGTCCACACCAAATGAAACCCTTGTGTGTACCTTGAGGATGTGTAAGTAGAGTGATTAGGTATTCTCCATATTTGGGCATTCCTCTGGAATTATGTGAAATTTAACCCAGAAAGTCTTGGAGGTTTTCAGAATCTGTTGCTCAACACTGCTAATGCAGGAGGCATATGGGGAATTTCTACAGTTCCCAGGTAACTCTGGCACATAGCATGCAACTAATCATCAAAAAGATGGGTACATCATGACCAAGTACGATTCATCCCAGGGTTACCGGGATGATACAACGTAACGAATCAATAAGTGTAACATACTGCATAAACAGAAGTAAGAACAAAAATAACGTGATCATTTCAGTTGACTCAGAAAGAGCTTTTGACTAAATCCAACATCATTCATGATAAAAAATTTAAAACCCTGAAGAAAATAAAAGAACCTATCTCAATCTGATAGCTGTTTTTGACAAACCAATGGCCAACATCATATTAAATGGGGAAAAGCTAAAAGTCTTCCCCTAAAATCAGGAACAAGACAGGGATGTCTGCTGTCATCATTCCTGTTCAATATAGTTCTCAAAACATTAGCCAGAGTAATCAGGCAAGAGAAAAAAATAAAAGCATATGTATAGGAAAGAAAGAAATCAAATTATCATATTTGCAGATGATATAAACATCTGCAGATGATACATACATAGAAGACCCAAAAAATGCAACCAAAAAACTTCTGGAGTTAATAACCAAATTTAGTAGCACAGTAGAATACAAAGTCAACACACAAAAGTCAAAAATATTCCTGTACAGTGATGATGAACTCAATGAGAAAAAAATTAGGAAAGCAATACCTTTTACAACAGCATCAAGAAAAATTAAATATTTAGGAATTAACCTAACCAAGGAAATGAAAGACCAAGAATCAACAAATGGAATCATATAACATTTAAAAGCTTCTACATAGCAAAAGAAACAATTGGGGAACCCACTCAGGACCCCATCTATCCCTCTCTCAGACAGAAGCTTTCTTTCCCTCAATAAATATATTCTGCTCTTTAGAAAAAAAAGAAAGAAAGAAAGAAACAGTCAACAGAGTGAAGAGACAACCTATAGAATGGGGGAAAAAATTGCCAACTATTCCTTGGAAGGAGAACTAATATCTAGAATATATAAAGAACTCAAAGAAATTAGATCTTCTAAAACAAAAGACTCAGTCAAAAAATGGGCAACTAAAATGAATAGACACTTCTTAGAAGAAGTACAAATGGCCCATAAACACATGAAAAAAATGTTGAACATTGCTGGCCATTACAGAAATGTGAATTAAAACAACACTGAGATTCCATTTTAGCCCGCAGAAAATGGCTATCATTAATAAGTCAAACAATAACAAATGCTGGTGAGGCTCCAGGGAAAAAGGAACACTTCTACATTGCTAGTGGGAATGTAAACTAGTACTACCACTGTGGGAATCAGTATGGAGGGTCCTTGAAAAAGCAAAACTAGGAATTCCATTTGACCCAGCTATTCCCAGGCATATGCATGTTTACAGCAGCATAGCTCACAACAGCTAAATCTTGGAAGTGGCCTACTCATATACACCCATCAACAGATGAGTGGACAAAGAAAATGCTGTATTTATTACACAATGAATATGACTCTGCCATAATGAAGGATAAACTTAAGTCATTTGGATGCACCTTGAGACCATAATGTTAAGTAAAATAAATTGGTCACAAAAGTAAATATCACATGATCTCTTTTATATAACAAACCCCAAATATAAAGAACAAAATAAAATATAAATAATAGGAAAAAAAAGAATTATTCTAAATTGGTCACAAATCCATGTTTAGCAGAGGATGCAGCTGTGGACTTGTAAATTTTAAGGTGTTAGAACAACTAAGTGAAAAAGAAATTTATTAAGTTGCTGAATGATAAGAAGAAATACATTAATCTTAGTTACCTGTGGCCCTCACATATTGACCTCTATTTATCAAATAAGATATACCGTACTTTAGGGACATTTATCAGACATTCATTAATTCTATAAGCATCTCCTAAACTATTTCCTTCATGGACAAACAGAGATGGGATATAGGATCATCTGTCAATTCAATGTAATTGTAATCAAATTTCCAACAGGATTTTTTTCCTGGATCTTCATCAACTAACCCAAAATTTATATGGAATCCAGGCAGAATGGTGCACACATATAATCCCAAAGGTCTGGGAAGCTGAGACAGGCAGTTCACCAGGTCAAGGCAAGCCTAAGCTACACAGCAAGTTTGCGGCCAGCCTGAATCACAGACAGATCCTCTCTCTCAAAAATAAAACTTTTTAAGTAAATAAATAAATAAGATGTATAAGGAGAAACACAGGTCAAACACAGCCAGAACACTTCTGAAGAAGAATAAGATGCTTCAAGGATTTGCCCTTCCATATTCTACGTGGACCATAAAGTTATGAAAATGAAGACCATCTTGCCAGCCATGGTGGTGTACACCTATAATCCCAGCATTCAGGAGACTGAAGCAGAAGGTTGCCAGATTAAGGCCAGCATGGGCTACATAGCGAAACTCTGTCTTGACAAAAAAAAAAAAAAAAAAAAAAAAAAAAAGCATCTGTATAGGGATAAATCAAAAGGGAGCTGGAACATCCTATAAAGCCCAGAAATAGATCCAGGCATCTGTGAAATCTTAGTGTCTTCACTGAGCATTACAGAAGGAAGAGGGGAAGAAAGATGACTCGGTAAATGAGATGGACAACCAGTTATCTGCTGGATCCCTTAATTCACTCCACACACAAAAGCAACCTCCAGGTGGACTAAAGACTCTAAAGCAGGGGCTGGGGATTTAGCTCAGCGGCACAGCGCCTGCCTGACAAGCGCAAGCTTGTGAGTTCGATTCCCGGTACCAGAGGGAAAAAGAAAAAAAAAAAAAAAAAACAAGAAACAAAGAAGGGAGCTTCTAAGTTGCCTAGACAATTTTCAAATGTTCTGTAAACTAAGACATGTAGCTGGTAATTAAAAGTTGAACACGGAGAAGGGTTGAAAGGAAAAGAGTGTTGGGAAGCAGCCCAGGCACAGAAAGTCACAGCATAAAGATGCATTAAAATGCAACAAAAGTAAATGTTAGGGCTGGGTTGTAGCTCAGTGTAGAGTGCATGTTCAGCATGTGCAAGGCTCTGGATTCAATCCCCAGCACAGAAAGAGAAGGCGAGAAAGCGAGAGAGCATGAGAGCGAGAGAGAGAGAAATATAACTTAATATGACTACTATAATTATTGAACATGAAGTTTGACTATGAAATTGTTAGCCAGGTGTGGTGCCACACACCTGTAATCCCAGCACTCAGGAGGCTGAGGCAGGAGGACCGTTGCAAGTTCGAGACCAGCCTGGGCTACAAAGTGAGCTCAAGACCAGCCTGAACTGCATAACGAGACCCTGTCTCAAAAAAAGACCAAAAAAAAAAAAAAAAGAAAGAAATTGTTAGTAGCAGGCCAGTAGTTAACCTTGAAGAGTGGGAATAGAGTGAAGGGGAAAGTACTGTCAGCTTATATGTGATAGCTCTTTTTTGGTTTTTTTTTGGTTTTTTTCGTTTTTTTGGTTTTTTCCGGTACCAGGAATCAAACTCACAACCTTGCGCTTGCCAGGCAGGCACTGTGCCGCTGAGCTAAATCCCCAGGCCCTTGTGAGAGCTTTTTGTAATATCTGAATTTTGTACAATAAATGTATAAACATTTGAATTAAAAATTAATTATTTAAATTTAAATTTCTGAATTTAGCCGACTTCTAGTTAAGCGTGGTAGATTGAATGCACTCATTCAACTCCACACCTTCCTGAAATACCATGAAAAGGACAGAAAAATAATTTTTCAAAGGTATCATACCCAAGGAGAACAAATGCGAACACAACAGATAGGAAAATCAAACTGGAATGTAGGATGCTCCACAGACAGGTAAATGAGCCACTTTTAAAACAAGCTGAAGCCTGGGCCCCGACCTCAGAGATTCTGATTTTAAAGACTCGTGTCGGTCTGGGCCTCAGTAGT